AGAGAGAGAGGGAGAGAGAGAGAGAAGAGAGAGAGAGAGAAAGAGAGAGAGAAAGAGGATTACATTCCATTAGTGATCGTGTACAAAAGCTGCGTTCTTAAATTATCAAGTTGTGAGATTGTTTTGTGAATTTGTAGCAATATCATAGCATTAAAATGATATATATAAATCATAAAATTTGATGTAGATTTTATTTTCGGATATTTATTTGATTGTCTACGAATTTATCCAACATAAAAATGAAAAAGAATAATCTCCTCGAGAATCTCGTATATAATAGATCTTTCAATAGATCTTTTTTTTTCCTTTTCTGTTAAATTTCTATGTCATAATCAATGTCATCATTCTCGTTAATTAAAGACATTCAATGTTGTATATTTCACTAAGAATTTTCACAAAAATTTAAAAGTTTTTCCGTGATACATAGCATTAAATGCCTGTGTGATCATTCAAATACCGATTTGTCAGGTAAATCAAACTTCTGCTTCGTATTCTTCTTCTTATCAACGCATTTCCGTAACAGTAATTTTTATTTTTATATTATATTTTAAACAAAAATATGTGTGTGTGTGTGTGTTGTCTAAAGCAAGTTTTGAGGCTAATGTCTGTCAGACGTCAAAAATGGAGTCATAAAATATCTTAAAGACGTCATATAGATGTTTTTCTCTCATAATAGTTTCTAAAAATGTCATATGAATTTTAAGACGTCTCTGGGCGTAATGATTTTTCAATTATAAAACTGCAAATCATTCGATTTGATTTAATTCGCTTCGAGAAGTGTGCTTCAAATTCAAGCCATGTTTCCGAATTCGCAAAATTACTGGATGTTTCTTAAAAACACAATTTGTGAGAGAAGAAAATTTTGATTTATTATTAGATATATATTATTAGATTTTATATTTTATTAAGTGTTACAATCATAATTCTCCAATTCTTATCAATTATTCCAATCGAAAACAGCCGAATAAGTATCAGCTACAAAACTTACCCGATGAGAGAAGATTGGGTCGTCGATTCAACGACCGCAATGCTGTGTTTCCATTGCATTTAATGATTTGAGCATCTCTCCTACGCATCCCTCAATTATTCGACAATCGAGACTCGTCAGAGTGATTAGTGTGAGAAAAATTGGCGGTTTAATTAATTATTAATTGCGAATTCCAAGCTAAGTGATAAGCGCACGGGTACAACACATTTAACGCGATGAAGTTGAATTGCATCACGACAGACGCCGCGCGCCGACTGGAACTGCTGTGAGCTGTCGCTCTTCTCTCATTCTCCAGTGACAATCGAGGGATCGAAGGAAAGTACGAGTATACGGGCGCGCCTGCCAACGTCGGGACGCCCGCGCCGCCGCCGTGCCGCCGCTGCCGCCACTCCCACCGCCACTATCACCACTGCCGTTGCCACCGTTGCTGTCACGACCGTAACGTTCAACTACCATGTGAGCAGCTTGCTAGAAGACATCGAATTCTGTGAATTCTGTCCGCAGGTGACGTACAGTTGCCTGTTGTCAACCGGTGATCTTGTCTTCGTCTCCACCGCCTCCACCGGTCCACACCGGTCCACACCGGTCAACTGATGAGGACCGATTCGGTTGGCGACGACAACGACGACAAAGTGAAAGACAACGATGCCGGGCGTGCCGAAGAGGGAAACTCGCGTTGGGTTTCGTTGTCGAGAAGACGCGATGCAGCCCTGTGATCGATCCGTTTCACCCCTTCGTATATGTGCATCGCACGGCGTGGTACAGACTGCAACGCATCGACAATGGAGCGAGCAGGATGAACATAATGCTCAGGACGATATGCGCAACAATAGTATGCGCAACAGCATGACCGAGGATGAGGTTGACGCGAAGTCGGTGTCGCGGAGAAATGGATAAAATAAAGCCAGGGAAAAGAATCAACGTGGTTACTACGTAAAAGTCATAAATTTCGGGTTCGGCTACTAGTTCATGGTTAGTCTCTTAACTCGCACGATTCTTAACAGTATATACGTATATGGTATTTGTAATTGCAGAGGAGAATGTAATTCATAGATGCGATCGTATGGACGGACATCAGATAAAATCGAATTATGCTCTTTAATGGATATTTTAATTTTACTTTGTGTGAACAATGAAAAAATATTAATTACGCTTCTATATATAAAGAGAGATGTACAATAATTTTATATTAATCCCATTCTAATCCTCTGTGCAATTTATAAAATTTATATTTTGCAAGGCAATCATATAGTCAAAAACTAAAATGGCGAGAATAATGAGAAATGTATACTTACTATTTATCATGTAATGTACTTATATACATACCTAATGAATATTTAATAATATAGGCAAA